GGCGCACGCGCAGCGCTGGGGCAGCTGGTCAACCCCGCGGCGGGAAACGGCGGCGCGGAGCGAAGGGCGGCGCGAGGCGGGGGCAAAGCGCGAAGCTGCGCCGAGGGTCGGTGCTTACGGATGAGGCAGACGTAAGCGCTGCGGTAGGGTTTGTGGTGGGAAGGTGGCTCCCTGCGAACGCGCGTGTCGATACGACGACCTGGGAAAGGCTTGGGCCTTCCTGCAGTGCCAGGTCTCCCCACGACGCTGGAAGCACGGATGGGTGTACGCCGAGAACGAGCAGGCGGAGCTGGTTTTATTTCGACATATTTTTCCAAGTCTATTCCTTGTTTAAAAAAAAAAATCCCTATAAGAAATTATCAATTAATGGACAGAGGAAAATATTTTTAAAAAAGCTTTTTTTTTCTTTTTGTATGAGAATTACACCATTAAAATAATTATCTGAAAAATCTTTAAACTTGTTTTCTATCAGTATGTCTCCAAGGACCAAGGCTTCGAGCATGCCTTAGGTTCTTTCGTTTAAACCGCACTATTCCTGCGGAGTTCAGGTAGAGCAACACCGCGCTTGGTGAGCAGAATCGCTGCAGGATGACACTGCAAGCAGCGTCTAACAAAGCCCACGCCTGAGATTTGAAAGGTTAGAACTTTACTGGGTTTACACAGCAATACTGACATCAGTAATAACCAGCATCCGCATTGTACAACATGTACATGATTTAGATACAGAAACCATAAACACAGAAACAAACAAGTACCCTTCATATCTTGGATATGAATTTGTTGAAATCAGACTCAAAAGCATATATAGCACTAAAGTAGCACTTTAAAGCACTGCAAATTTGTAAATGCAGTAAGGTAAAGACTCTTTTGCTGTTTTGGAGTGTACTGTAAAGGAACCTGATCCTAGATAAGCTGCTACTAACTCGAGTAATCATCACACTAGACTCCTCAGCTGCAAAGGCAGTGAAGGTACCACCGTATTTTTCTTACCTGTACACATTTTTATGAGAAATTTCTAAATTTCTAAAAATTTCTAAATATTTCTAAAATATTTCTATGAAAAAAAAATCTTACTCCTGTTAATAGGTATCCTAGCTCCAGTGAAACTACACACATGGATAAGACTTTTATGAAGCTGCCCTCCTCTTTTTTATAAAGCAGATCATGATCATCCTTTCAGACAGAAAGGAAAAAACAACTAAATGTGCTCATGTAGTGTATGCAAAGAAAGTAATAAATAATGTAAACATCAGTATTTCTTTCCTGAGATGTCTATGCTTCATTTTTGTCTCTTCACAGGCAGGTAGTTTATTCACTCTAATTCCATGTGCTGGAACTCTGCTCAATAGTTTATTGAACATCTTTTTCTAGCTTTGTAATTAAGTAAATACTCTAGCAACTTTAAAACCTAAGGATACAGTAAAGCATTTGTTTAGTCATTTTCATTATTCAGGATTTCACTGAATATTCGTTTTCATGGAAAACTGTATTCATCATATAAAAAAAATGCTGATCAACTCCTTTGCTGATCAACTGTTGCAGAAAAACTATAGAATCTCTTTTAAAGATTAATTTACACATAGGCAGGTGCATCTGTAGCAATCTAATGTCCTTCAACTCCAAAGTACATTTGAAAAATATCAGCACATCCTTTTTCTTCTAAAAAATGATACAGCTGCCCCAAATCCATATGATTTCCCCTGGAACCATGAGCGTCAAAACACTTTTCTTCCAAAGTGGAGAATTTTCTTAGTTTCTGAATCTCATCACATGTTCCACCTTTCAAAGAAACATCTTCTCTGTGACGAATTAAAATTCTCTTCCATGTTAATCTTCTAATTCTGAAAGCAAATAGAGAAATACAGATCTAGCTGTACAATGCAGTTATTTTTAAACTCTTTCATAGCATCTCCTAAAACTAACTGGTATAATCAAATAATGTTCATTTATTCTGCGCTATTCAAAAACATAAATTATGAGAGCACAACAAAATATGAACATAAAACAATATAAAAACATACATAGGTAAAGAGAATAGAGTACAACAGCTACACACAGAGAAAACAAAAGTAAGAATGTGGACTGTGTATTAGCAGTTTTCATTATTGCAATCAGCAGTACAGTGGACATTTAGATCTGTAAATACACTGTGACAAATACTCCACAGACAAGAGGTTGGAAAGTGGGATGAGTTTTCCACCTTCTGGCCACATAACACAAAACAAACAAACAAAACCATAATATTCTAACTACTAATGGTACTTAAGTACAGTGAAAAACTAACCTTGACCAGAACTCTTCACAGCTGTTCTGCAGACCTTCTACACAAACAACACCTGGTTTCCCAGGCATGCAAAACCCTGAGAGAGTGAGCTCCTTGGCCCAGTCGATAATGTTCTTTCTTTTTTGCTTGTTGTAGATATGATGACTGTAAATCCATAATCTAGTGAAAATGATGTCTTCTGCCTGCATTGCATCTGATGTTGTCACCGAGGAAGATGAAAGCTCTCTGTCAATGTAAGCAACTGCATGATCTTTAACCCATTGCCTTGCACTCAACATGCAAGGCTCACCACTGCAGTTTTGCAGCAAGTATGTTTTTAGATCAGAGTTCAGGTGAATCTGCTGAGCACGGCTTAGTAGTGATGACCTAGAGAAAAATACAGATGCAGGGCTACTGAACAACCTTTCACTCCTTCAAGTTTGGCCTTATTAAACCAAGTAACAGTCCCTCAGCATCAGGCCTATGAATGGTATCTATATTTGACCACTCTGTACAGAATCTGAAACTTCGCCATTCTTTTCATATTTTTCTCACTTGTATGTTGAAGACACTAAAGAAATCATATCCATACAAATTTGCTTTTATTCTGTCATCACTCTCTGTCTGGCTCAATTTGACTGTGCACTGTGAAAAAAAAAACTGGTTTTGCTATTGGACCCTTTTGGATATTACACTGTAACTTTTAAACATTTTAATTGTATTTAATTGTATTGATTATATTTTAATGTCATACCTCACAGTAATTTCTGGTAGAACAGCTGGATATTTAAATGGCAGAGCACAGCACATAGAGAACTGCACCTGGAAACAAAGGACAAGGAGTTGAAGAAAGCCCTAAAATCCGACCTGAAGTCCCACAGTACTGATTTTCGTGGTTTGTTTTGTTTTTGTTTTTTACCGTGGAGGCATCAAGGACTTCAGCCTTTACGTTCAGCACAAACTGCACTTTAGAAGTGGGCACCTCTGCAGACTGACTCTCAACATAGCGCTTCAGTTCTGCCACCGCCAGCTGGTCAGTCACAGCAAACTCCTCCTCGTAAGGAAACATGCTGGCAAGCAAGTCTAGCTCAGAAACCTGTATTTCTGCTTCTTCGCGGCTGGCCATTTCTCGGTCCGAGCTTGTTTCCTAGCGGGAGGCGACAACGAGACGAGGTGAACGGGCAGGCCCGTGAGAACCCCCCGCGCACGCGCAAACGCTTCAAGGGCCGCCCGCGTCCCGCCACCTTCCCGCTCATCCGCCTCAAGCGCCGCGCCCGGAAGCGCCGCCTGCATCGCGCATGCGCAAGGAAGGGGCGGCAGCACCGCGCACA